TTTTAATAAAAACTATATGCGAAAATATTTAGAATTTAATTTTATCCTTTTATTACTAAGTGTTATCGTTGATCATGTATAATTATTTCCTATGGTACATTTACGCTTTTGGGAAACGGTTTGTGTTATATCGGTGGTAGACTTTTACGGTTTGTAATAATGTGATACTACCACTGTTTATGTATAATTATAAATGGAATAATGTACCGTATATGTATGCACGAGTGTTTTCTTCCGCTAAACTCTGAAAAGAAAAGTTTTAAATTCCCGCGGATTTTTGGAAAATGTTATTTTATTTTAGTTGTCCATGTGACGCAACTCGTATTGCGAGATGCGGGTTTCGGGTGTTACAGCTGCAGGTTGCACATGGACTGCAACTCGAAGAGTTTAAATGCTATGTATTTGATTATTTGTTTTTTATTAGGGATTATATTTCTGTATTTCGAAATCTATTATACATACATCTTTTTTCTCCCATTTACATTATAATTTTGGTTCATTTACAATTGTATTTTTATAACTATATCCACTTAATTTTTCTACTATATAAAATCATGGTTTCGGATTTATTGGGTTACCATAAAGTAAGTATTTTAATATATATATATATATATATATAGATTTTCAGTTATTTGTTGGTACTAATTTCAAATCTTTAATAAAATATATTAAATTGATTTTTGGTACGATTATGTGTTATTATTAAATTGATATTGGTATATAACAAATGTTATTTATTGCATTATTTTTTTATGAAATTATGTTCTCTGCCTCACTTTCTCCCTCTATCGGCTATAAAACTATCAAAAGACATGTACAAGTGGATTACTTGTACAGTGCTGCCAAATTTATGTGGGCTTCTATTTTTAAAATATTCTTAAAATATGAGATTTTAAAATAAGTAATTTTCTTAATAAAAACTATATTTATTTTTTATTATTTTTATTTATTTTAGATAATATTGCAGAAGTTATTATTAGAATTAGCATTTAATAAAAAAAATTTAAATACTCGTTTTTTTATATATATATTGGAATCATCTTTCTATAGCTATTATATATAGATTTTCAGTTATTTGCTGGTATTAATTTCAAAATAAAAAAATATATTAAATTGATTTTTGGTGCGATTATGTGGTATTATTAAATTGATATTGGTATATACCAAATGTTATTTATTGCATTCTTTTTTTATGAAATTATGTTCTCTGCCTCACTTCCTCCCTCTATCGGCTATAAAACTATCAAAAGACATGTACAAGTGGATTACTTGTACAGTGCTGCCAAATTAATGTGGGCTTCTATTTTTAAAATATTCTTAAAATATGAGATTTTAAAATAAGTAATTTTTTTTAATAAAAGCTATATGCGAAAATATTTAGAATTTAATTTTATCCTTTTATTACTAAGTGTTTTAGATAAAGTAAGTATTTTAATATATATATATATATATATATAGAGAGAGAGAGAGAGAGAGAGATTTTTAGTTATTTGCTGGTATTAATTTCAAATCTTTAATAAAATATATTAAATTGATTTTTGGTGCGATTACGTGTTTTTATTAAATTGATATTGGTATATATCAAATTTTAATTATTGCGTACCTTTTTTATGAAATTATGTTCTCTACCTCACTTTCTCCCTCTATCGGTTATAAAATTGACTGATGTCAAATTTATGAGGGCTTTTATTTTTAAAATATTCTTAAAATATGAGATTTTAAAATAAGTAATTTTTTTAATAAAAACTATATGCGAAAATATTTAGAATTTAATTTTATCATTTTATTACTAAGTGTTTTAGATAAAGTAAGTATTGTGACATATTTAATATACGGCTGAAAATTGATTATTTTCCTCAAACTCTTACATTGATTAAATTGAAAAAAATAATAACACAATGATTATTAGCATCTGAAAAGAATTTTAATTACGTTTTCAAATTTGATGGCCCTTTCTATTAATGGGCTTTAAGAGGCCTATTCACATTTGGGTCGTCAAGATCTTGGACTGTTACATGCAAAGGGCCTCGAACCCGTATCTCCCGACCAGGAAAAAATCCATAAATAATTATTTAAGTTTCTAATTTGGTTACCGTTGCTGTCAGAAATTGGATAATAAAATTTAAATACCCGTTTTAATTATATATATATTGGAATCATCTTTCTATCGCTATTAGATATGGATACCCAAAAAAATCAAAATCTGTTCCATTTTTTCTATTATGTCTTTTTTCTTGATGTCTGAGTTTTGGATTCTTGTGTCTTATGGCTTTAAGTTTCTGTGGCAATCTACTGAATTATATGGCAAATTCTACATATCAAACTTACTTATAATAAAATCAAATATCGTAAAATTGAAGATTGATTTTATTGGTTTATATCAAAATTGGAAATCGACGATTATAAAATATTTTTAATACAATTTTATTTACAATTGTAATAAATTTTCGAGTCAAATACTCGATGTGTTATCAAATAAAAAAAATTAGTAATGCCCAAAAACCCGGACACATATTAAAGAAAATGCTTACTGTTATAGACACTAATGTTACAATTTGAAATTGGGGAAAGGAAATAGAAATAAATCGCTGCAGGTTGCACATGGACTGCAACTCGAAGAGTTTAAATGCTATGTATTTGATTATTTGTTTTTTATTAGGGATTCTATTTCGAAATCTATTATACATACATCTTTTTCTGCCATTTACATTATATATTTGGTTCATTTCTAATTGTTTTTTTATAACTATATCCATTAATTTTTCTACTATATCAAATCATGGATTCGGATTTATTGGGTTACCTTGCAATTTTGCTAAGATAAAGTAAGTGTTTTAATATATATATATATATTTAGATTTGCAATTATTTGTTGGTATTATTTTCAAAAATTTAATAAAATATATTAAATTGATTTTTAGTGCAATTATGTGTTATTATTAAATTGATATTGATATATACCAAACTTTATTTATTGCATTCCTTTTTTTAATGAAACTATACTCTTTGCATCACTTCTTTTGTCGGGTGTAAACAGTCAAAAACATATACAAGTGGATCACTTGTACCATGCTGTCAAATTTATGTGGGTAGTGGGCTTCTATTTTTAAAATATTTCATTCTTAAAATATGAGATGTTAAAATAAGTAATTTTTTTAATAAAAACTATATGCGAAAATATTTAGAATTTAATTTTATCCTTTTAGTACTAAGCCTTTTAGCATAAGTATATAAATATCATTTTTCTAATTACATTTGCAATAAAAATAATATTTATTTTTGATTATTTTTATTTATTTTAGATAATATTGCAGAAGTTATTATTAGAATTAGCATTTAATAAAAAAAATTAAAGTATTCAATTTTTTACCTTTATCTTCACTGGTAATTTATTAGATATGTTGTTAAAATAATATTACTTAAACGAATAATTAATATATCTATATTATTTTGATATATTTGTATTTTAAAATTACTGTTATTTATATTAGTTATTTTGTTATTGTTCATAATAAACATATTTAAATATTTCTTATCCCCAATATAATGTTGATGTTTTAACTTCATTCCCGGAATTAGAACTAAAGTTCAGAATTTAAATAAAAATAACAAAATATTTAAAAATATTTAAACACAATAAATTTCTTAACATGTTTGGTTACTAATTAATAAAATTACTTTAAAATTTTAGTTTTTAAACAAGGAAAAAAAACTGGTAAAAACTGATTTGCGAACGTTACACCATTTAGAAGGAAAAATACATTTGCCTTGATTTTTGGAACATTTTTCACGGAAAATTTGTTTCTGTAAATAAATGATGTTGATAATGATATATAATTAGCATACATTGCGTGGACTATAAATCCAGTGTTAATTATAATAGTAATAGTAGAAAATTATATTGTCTATAATTTTTATGAATTTATCTATTTTCAACTTAGTTTAAATAATATATATATATATATATATATATATATATAGATTTTTCATAAAATAGTAATAGATAAACTATAAAATATAATTATGAAGAATTTATAATAAAATATCAATACACTTAGAAAATATATTTTTATATTATAAAAAAGTACTAAAATATTTTTTATCAAACAAATAATTTATATCATTTTTATAAAATTTATATCAATAAATATTATGCAAAAAAAGAATAATCCGCATATTGACTATTTTCATTTAGTATTATTAAATAAAAAACCGTGGAATATATAAAATTTTGATGAATTAAATAGTTAGTATTTTAATAGGATATTATAAAAAATTAAAGATTTTTTATGTACTTAATGTGTATACTTTTTTGTACATCGTCCCTCGGTAAAAGAGTACCTAATTTGTCCAATGCATAAAAGTTCGGTTGATCCAAATTTCAAAACAAAGAATAAAAAAAAATGTATATATCACAAGAAAAATCATTCATTAATGTCTGATTACATATGCGCCAAGACAATTATTCAACAGTATATTATTAATTCATGTTCATCCACGATTTCTTATTTCCTCCTTTGTAAGACTAAGAAATAATTTATTTTCTTACCCTTGTTTCTTTGTATTTTTATTAGATGAAAAATAAATTAAATCATGTTGGCGGGTAATCACAAAAATATACACAACTAAACCCATTAATATATAATCATATTTGAATCGATCTAGTATAAATATGAAAATAATAGGAAAAAAACCCTAATGCAAAAGAAATTAAAAAAAAAACGAATCAAACGAAATTCTGATTAAAAAAACAGATATAATTTATATAAAACCCGAAATATTGGATCCAAATTGAATAATTAACCAATAGAATCAGTGGGTACCGTTAAAATATTTCATTGCCCATATTCATATAAACACTTTTCCATTTTTAAAACAAGCGAAATATATTTAGAATACAAAATATATAATAAATGACGACATGTTTACAATTCTTAATGATGTAAAAGATATGCTTCGGTCCTGCCATTATATTGAAACTCTGCAAAGGAAACTGCCATTTAAAGGTGCTAATAATAGTAATTCATTACTCTTACATGGAAGAAAATGGTAATTGAAAAAATAAAATAAGGAGAAAAATGGCATGTAAGGAACCCAACTAACAACCACGGTAAAGTGGTGTGGGCATGCGCAAAAGCGCTCCACAACCACGGTTCGACCCCCACCTAATACCAAAAAAACAAAAAAGGAAACCGAAGAAAAACAGTCCTCTGTTTGTGTCTCCTACACACGCTACTTGGATTTTTCCTTAAAATTTAATGTACATATATATACACACTCATATATACACGTACTTGTGTGCATATTTATGCAATGTATACACAAACAAGGTGGAGGAAAAAGATGATGGAGCTTCAGCGGCATTTGGTTGAGAGAGAGGAGGAGACCCATTCCTCTGTGGGTAATGATGACACCTTCGCACAAGCCAGTCTATGGAGTCGGCTCACGTTTCAATGGCTGAATCCACTTTTCAGACAAGGCCGAGTTCGGAAACTCGAGTTCCGCCATGTTCCTCCGGTTTCCCGGTCAGAATCTGCCGAAAACGCTTCCTCTTCCCTCGAGGAGTCTCTCTCCCAGCAAAGGTTCGACGATCTGGCTCTGCCTTTCGCCATTGCAAGAACCATTAGCCATTCTCTCACGCTCAACGCCGTTTTCGCAGGTGGGTTTCCCCGTTCTTGCGCTTTTCTTTTTTTCCAGATTCTGAATCATGAATCGTAACCAATTCTGCCCTTATGATCTTTCCAGTGCTCAACACTGTTGCATCGTACGTTGGGCCATTGCTTATAACGACGTTCGTGAACATCTTGCACGAGAAACAGACAATCTCCAGTGACGGTCTGGTTCTTGCCTTTGTCTTCTTCTTCGCCAAGACAGTGGAGTCTCTGTGTCAACGACAATGGTACTTCGGTGCTCAGAAGATTGGCGTTAGAGTCAAAGCGGCTCTCACCGTGTTGATCTACAAGAAATCCCTCTCCGTCAAATTCGTGGGTTCGAAAAATGGAAAGATCGTAAATTTGATCAATGTGGACGTCGAAAAGGTCGGAGATTTCTGTCTGCAGATCCATGAACTCTGGTTATTACCAGTTCAGGTGGTTCTAGCTTTGGTGATCTTGTACAAGAATCTCGGTTTCGCCCCATCGTTCGCAGCTCTTGTCTCGACCGTTCTGGTTATGATGAGCAACACTCCTATAGCCAACAGGCAGAAGAGTCTGCACTCAAAGATCATGGAAGCAAAGGACTCGAGGATAAAGACGACTTCCGAGATTCTGAAGAGCATGAGGATTCTGAAACTTAACTCGTGGGAGCCCAAGTTTCTCAAGAAAATCCTTCATCTCCGAGAAACCGAGAGAAAATGGCAGAAACGGTATCTGTACACGAGCTCAGCCATTACTTTTCTCTTCTGGGCATCTCCGACACTTGTGTCCGTGATCACTTTCGGCGTCTGTTTCGTCTATAACACTCCTCTGACATCAGCCACCGTCTTATCGACTCTTGCAACGTTCAGGATACTAACGGAGCCTATATACAATCTCCCCGGGCTCATGTCACTGGTGGCTCAATCCAAAGTGTCGTTAGAACGGATTGAAGGGTTTATCAGAGAGGAGGACCAGATGAATATCGAGTATTCTCCTCTCGATTCTTCAAACGCAATTGACATCAAGCAAACACATTTGAGAAGTGTCATGGGATCCATTCATGTAATTGGCAATCCAAGATCTGAACACAAAAAAAAAACTCACCCTTTTTGAACAACCTCGTTATCGGTTTCAATGCGGAAGTTCCATCTCTCTAAGACCTCGGAGGTCGCTTTGCTCATTATCACAAGTACAACTTTCCCGCCACAAGCCATTCTTTACACACATGATGTTTTTCGAATCAGACGCCTAAGTTCCGACATAATCATGTGCAGCAAGACCCAAGACACAATCTCTCACTAGTTTTGCTAATCCTATAAGAATATTGCCAGATGAGGGATTAAAGGAATGAATGATTCAGCCAAACGCCAAGGGCTCTGAGAAAACCAATGTTCTAGACACAAAAATGGTAAGATTTCAATCAAATGTCGGGGAAGAAGGCTTACCGGAAATCTGAGAAGTCAGGTTGAAGAGGAAGGAAGGACTTAACGGCTTCGTCTTGGATAGGCAACACTGGCAATCCATATTTCTTCACTTTGACGAAGCTCTCTTCTGGATAAACTCAAAACCCTAAGCTGAAAAAAGTCGCGAAAATTAATGGGAATCCCACGATCCATCGATTCTCACCTGTTCCAAGCATAACCTGAAAAAGATCATCAAATTGGGGAAGAGAAAGCCAAAAGCAACAGCAGTAAGTGAAGAAATATGCTTCAAAATCCCATGCGAATCGACGGATCAAAACCTAAGAAACTGGAAAAAGGACGGACATAAGAACTCGCTGACGATGGCCGCAGATCCACGCAACGTGATTATAGCTTTCTCTGCTGTTATCGACGTCATTGAAACAACGATCTCAGTAATCAGAGAGGAGAATCCGGATACCTGCAGTGATGGATTTTCTTCGAGGCAATTAGAGCGAGTTAGGGTTTCAACGTGGTTCGAGTTTCGAAATTAATTGAGCGAAAATCTCAAAATTAAGAATAGAAAAGGGCGCAATGGTAACATTCCCCAGTAGCGCCCTTTCAACGGTCACTTTGTCCATTAACATTTTTTTCAAGTTTCTCTAACTTATTTTTTAAATCTAAATTATATATATAATATTAAAATTTATTTCTCTGTCTTCTTACCAAAAAAAAAAAGAGTTATTTTGAGACTAAGCAACAACTCACAAGTTTAATATTGCGACATATTTAATATACGGCTGAAAATTGATTATTTTCCTCAAACTCTTACATTGATTAAATTGAAAAAATAATAACACTCAGTGATTAGCATCTGAAAAGGATTGGTTTGGGATTTTAATCACGTTTTCAAATTTGGTGGCCTCTATTAATGGGCTTTAAGAGGCCTATTCACATTTGGGTCGTCAAGATCTTGGACCGTTACACGCAAAGGGCCTCAAACCCGTATCTCCCGACCAAAAAAAAAATCCATAATTTTTATAAGTATCCATATTTTATATAATTATTTAAAGTTTCTAATTTGGTTACCGCCGATGTCAGAAATTGGATAATAAAATTTAAATACCCGATTTTTTTATATTGGGATCATCTTTCTATAGCTATTAGATATGGATTCCCAAAAATATCAAAATCTGCTACCAAGGAAAATATAGTAAGAGTATAAGTGTGTTCCATTTATTCTATTATGGTTTTTCCTTGATGTCTGAGTGTTGGATTCTTGTGTTTGATGGCTTTAAGTTTCTGTGGTAATCTACGGAATTCTACTTATCAAACTTACTTATAATAAAATCAAATATCGTAAAACTGAAGATTGATTTTGCTGGTTTATATCAGAATTGAAAATCGACGATTATAAAATATTTTTAATACAATTTTATTTACAATTATAATAAATTTTTTAGTCAAATACTCGATGTGTTATCAAATAAAAATAATAATTAATGTCCAAAAACCCAGACACATATTAAAGAAAATGTTTACTGTTATAGACACTAATGTTACAATTTGAAATTGGGGAAGGGAAATAGAAATAAATCGCTGCATGTTGCACATGGACTGCAACTCGAAGAGTTTAACTGCTATGTATTTGATTATTTGTTTTTTTATTAGGGATTATATTTCTGTATTTCGAAATCTATTATACATACATATTTTTCTCCCATTTACATTATAAATTTGGTTCATTTACAATTGTATTTTTATAACTATATCCACTTAATTTTTCTACTATATAAAATCATGGTTTCGGATTTATTGGGTTACCATAAAGTAAGTATTTTAATATATATATTTAGATTTGCAATTATTTGTTGGTATTATTTTCAAAAATTTAATAAAATATATTAAATTGATTTTTAGTGCAATTATGTGTTATTATTAAATTGATATTGATATATACCAAACTTTATTTATTGCATTTCTTTTTTTTTTTATGAAACTATACTCTTTGCATCACTTCTTTTGTCGGGTGTAAAACAGTAAAAAACATATACAAGTGGATCACTTGTACCATGCTGCCAAATTTATGTGGGTAGTGGGCTTCTATTTTTAAAATATTTCATTCTTAAAATATGAGATGTTAAAATAAGTAATTTTTTTTAATAAAAACTATATGCGAAAATATTTAGAATTTAATTTTATCCTTTTAGTACTAAGCCTTTTAGCATAAGTATATAAATATCATTTTTCTAATTACATTTGCAATAAAAATAATATTTATTTTTGATTATTTTTATTTATTTTAGATAATATTGCAGAAGTTATTATTAGAATTAGCATTTAATAAAAAAAAAACTAAAGTATTCAATTTTTTACCTTTATCTTCACTGGTAATTTATTAGATATGTTGTTAAAATAATATTACTTAAACGAATAATTAATATATCTATATTATTTTGATATATTTGTATTTTAAAATTACTGTTATTTATATTAGTTATTTTGTTATTGTTCATAATAAACATATTTAAATATTTCTTATCCCCAATATAATGTTGATGTTTTAACTTCATTCCCGGAATTAGAACTAAAGTTCAGAATTTAAATAAAAATAACAAATATTACTTAAACGAATAATTAATATATCTATATTATTTTGATATATTTGTATTTTAAAATTACTGTTATTTATATTAGTTATTTTGTTATTGTTCATAATAAACATATTTAAATATTTCTTATCCCCAATATAATGTTGATGTTTTAACTTCATTCCCGGAATTAGAACTAAAGTTCAGAATTTAAATAAAAATAACAAAATATTTTAAAATATTTAAACACAATAAATTTCTTAACATGTTTGGTTACTAATTCATAAAATTACTTTAAAATTTTAGTTTTTAAACAAGGAAAAAAAACTGGTAAAAACTGATTTGCGAACGTTACACCATTTAGAAGGAAAAATATACATTTGCCTTGATTTTTGGAACATTTTTCACGGAAAATTTGTTTCTGTAAATAAATGATGTTGATAATGATATATAATTAGCATACATTGCGTGGACTATAAATCCAGTGTTAATTATAATAGTACTAGTAGAAAATTATATTGTCTATAATTTTTATGAATTTATCTATTTTCAACTTAGTTTAAATATAATATATATATATATATATATATATTACGGCATTAATTTACCATCATAAATTATTAAAGGAATTAAATGAAAAACTCTTAAAATTAAAAAAAATGAGTAATACAAAATGAACTGGTAAGAAAAATTAATAAAATGCAATTATTTTAAATACAATTTATTATTGTTTTAATTGAGATTTATTTATTGATAAAATAGTAATAGATAAACTATAAAATATAATTATGAAGAATTTATAATAAAATATCAATACACTTAGAAAATATATTTTTATATTATAAAAAAGTACTAAAATATTTTTTATCAAACAAATAATTTATATCATTTTTATAAAATTTATATCAATAAATATTATGCAAAAAAGAATAATCCGCATATTGACGATTTTCATTTAGTATTATTAAATAAAAAACCGTGGAAAATATAAAATTTTAATGAATTAAATAGTTAATATTTTAATAGGATATTATAAGAAAAAATTAAAGATTTTTTTATGTACTTAATAAGTTAATGTGTATACTTTTTTGTACATCGTCCCTCGGTAAAAGAGTACCTAATTTGTCCAATGCATAAAAGTTCGGTTGATCAAAATTTCAAAACAAAGAATAATAAAAAAATGTATATATCACAAGAAAAATCATTCATTAATGTCTGATTACATATGCGCCAAGACAATTATTCAACAGTATATTATTAATTCATGTTCATCATGCAAGTTAACATTCCATAATTCATTTAAAGTGAGGTTACGTTACCATTGCACTATATTTGCACTACCATTATAATAATAATATTCGATGCATTTATTCCCCTAAAGGAATGATCCACGCAACCGAGTGTGATCCACGATTTCTTATTTCCTCCTTTGTAAGACTAAGAAATAATTTATTTTCTTACCCTTGTTTCTTTGTATTTTTATTAGATGAAAAATAAATTAAATCATGTTGGCGGGTAATCACAAAAATATACACAACTAAACCCATTAATATATAATCATATTTGAATCGATCTAGTATAAATATGAAAATAATAGGAAAAAAACCCTAATGCAAAAGAAATAAAAAAAAAACGAATCAAACGAAATTCTGATTTAAAAAAAAACAGATATAATTTATATAAAACCCGAAATATTGGATCCAAACTGAATAATTAACCAATAGAATCAGTGGGTACCGTTAAAATATTTCATTGCCCATATTCATATAAACACTTTCCCATTTTTAAAACAAGCGAAATATATTTAGAATACAAAATATATAATAAATGACGACATGTTTACAATTCTTAATGATGTAAAAGGTATGCTTCGGTCCTGCCATTATATTGAAACTCTGCAAAGGAAACTGCCATTTAAAGGTGCTAATAATAGTAATTCATTACTCTTACATGGAAGAAAATGGTAATTGAAGAAATAAAATAAGGAGAAAAATGGCATGGAACCGAACCGACAACAAAAAAGGAAACTGAAGACTTCAGTCCTCTGTTTGTGTCTCCTCCTACACACCCCACTTGGATTTTTCCTTAAAATTTAATGTACACAAACAAGGTGGAGGAAAAAGATGATGGAGCTTCAGCGGCGTTTGGTTGAGAGAGAGGAGGAGACCCATTCCTCTGTGGGTAATGATGTCACCTTCGCACAAGCCAGTCTATGGAGTTGGCTCGCGTTTCAATGGCTGAATCCACTTTTCAGACAAGGCCGAGTTCGGAAACTCGAGTTCCGCCATGTTCCTCCGGTTTCCCGGTCAGAATCCGCCGACAACGCTCCCTCTTCCCTCGAGGAGTCTCTCTCCAAGCAAAGGTTCGAGGATCTGACTCTGCCTTTCGCCATTGCAAGAACCATTAGCCATTCTCGCACGCTCAACGCCGTTTTCGCAGGTGGGTTTCCCCGTTCTTGCGCTTTTTTTTTTCCAGATTCCGAATCATGAATCGTAACCCTTTCTGCCCTTATGATCTTTCCAGTGCTCAACACTGTTGCATCGTACGTTGGGCCATTGCTTATAACGACATTCGTGAACATCTTGCACGAGAAACAGACAATCTCCAGTGACGGTCTGGTTCTTGCCTTTGTCTTCTTCTTCGCCAAGACAGTGGAGTATTTGAGTGCTGCAGACATTGGTACATGTCCGAACCCATAAGTTTCAGTAACAGTGATTTCATATACTTCTCCACAAGTAAATTTCAAAACTCATGGTTACACTCAGTCAATAGACAAAATGGAATACACTTTCTTCAATTTCAAAATGGAAAATTCTTCATAATTTATCAATTTATAAACTAAAAATTGATGATGATTCTCTTTCTAGTTTATAAACCAATCACATTTTAAAAAACTGTCACATAGGATACTTAGGTGGCTTCATGAGAAGCCTTCAAATCCAACTTTTATATATATAGATTTATAATGGACGTGATTATACAAACAGAACATATCAAATACAATCCTGAAGATTCATTCCATGGGTGTAAAACTACCAAAACTGTTTGAATGACCCATTAATATCTCAAATGGGCCTAATTGGGTCTACGTTCAGATTCTTTGTGAATCATCCTTCTTTTCTTGCATGACCTACTGGTAAACTCAGCAACAGGCTTCGAGAACGCTGAGTTCCTATCTTCAAGCAAATTCTTCGGAGAATCATACTCAATCACTTTTCCTACAATTACAGTAAAAAAAGATTTTTATTTTTTTACAGTTTTACATAATCAAAACATATCATTCAAAAGAGGAGAAAGTTTTCAGTTTTCTGGTTATATTTTACCTTGACCAAGCACAAGGACCAAGTCATTGTCGATGATAGTTGGAATCCTGTGAGCAATGGTGATGACAGTGCAATTTCTTGTTTCTTCTCTGAGGGTTTTCTGCATTAGATTGTTTGTTGTTGTGTCTATTGAGGTTGTCGCTTCGTCCAGGACCAGTATCCTTCTCTTCTTCAGCAGCACTCTCCCGAGACACACCAGTTGCCTTTGCCCTACGCTGAAGTTTTCTCCTTCCTCCGCAACTGCAGAAGAAAGCCATTTCAGATCATGGTTCGGGTCTTAGAAGGCGAGAAAAATGGCCAAGAATCTAGGAGGAAACGCAAAAGGGTACGGAAAAGACGGCGACTTTGTCATAGCTTTTGTACCGGGTAGATCTAAACAAGTACTAGCTTGTCTGAGAATGTCTGTGAGATGACACTTCCTCACGACCTGAAACATTGAAACAGAGAGAGAGTTCACTGTTTTGTTTGAATCATTACATTCACTGGAGAAGGAAACTGAGAGTTCTTGATCTTTGTTTCTGTACTTCCCAGATTTCTTGATCTGAATGCTGCTGGAGGGGATCAAGATTTGTTCTGATGGATCCTTGAAACAAGGTTGGATCCTGTGGGATTTTACCTAATCTTGACCTCAGATCATGCAATCCTATCCTGGAGATGTCGAGCCCGTCGATGAGAATTCTTCCTCCACAAAGTTATACGATCCGAAACAGAGCTTGAATCAGAGTGGACTTTCCACTTTGCGTTCTTCCCACGATTCCAATCTTCTTCTCCCCAGGGAATGTGCATGTTATTCCTTTCAGAACCATAGGAAGGTTCACAGTGTACCTCACCTGTAAATCTCGCAGCTCGACATTTCCCTCGCTTGGCCATTCAACAGAAGGCCTGAAGTCTTTTACTATAGGAGCAGTCTCGCTCGATATCTTTGTGAACTGGAGATTTCTCTCTACCGATATCATTTTGCTCTCGACGTTAGAGAAGTTCCATATGACCCACGCCTGAAGTACGTTGAGGGTCAGACTGTACGTTGCTGCTAAACCAGCCAGACCTGGAGATTGATCAGACCAGACCAAATGAAAGAAAAAGATCATTCAAGAAACATGTTTAACCTGTCAGATTATGTTGTGAAGGAGAGAGCATTCAAGAAGCTTACTAGGATCAATTCTTGGTGACCTTGCCATCCTTGTCATCTTGGTGACCTTGCCAAGATCAAGAATTGATCCTAGTAAGCTTCTTGAGTGCTCTCTCCTTCACAGCATAATCTGACAGGTTGAACATGTTTCTTGAATGATCTTTTTCTTTCGTTTGGTCTGGTCTGATCAATCTCCAGGTCTGGCTGGTTTAGCAGCAACGTACAGTCTGACCCTCAACGTACTTCAGGCGTGGGTCATATGGAACTTCTCTAACGTCGAGAGCAAAATGATATCGGTAGAGAGAAATCTCCAGTTCACAAAGATATCGAGCGAGACTGCTCCTATAGTAAAAGACTTCAGGCCTTCTGTTGAATGGCCAAGCGAGGGAAATGTCGAGCTGCGAGATTTACAGGTGAGGTACACTGTGAACCTTCCTATGGTTCTGAAAGGAATAACATGCACATTCCCTGGGGAGAAGAAGATTGGAATCGTGGGAAGAACGCAAAGTGGAAAGTCCACTCTGATTCAAGCTCTGTTTCGGATCGTATAACTTTGTGGAGGAAGAATTCTCATCGACGGGCTCGACATCTCCAGGATAGGATTGCATGATCTGAGGTCAAGATTAGGTAAAATCCCACAGGATCCAACCTTGTTTCAAGGATCCATCAGAACAAATCTTGATCCCCTCCAGCAGCATTCAGATCAAGAAATCTGGGAAGTACAGAAACAAAGATCAAGAACTCTCAGTTTCCTTCTCCAGTGAATGTAATGATTCAAACAAAACAGTGAACTCTCTCTCTGTTTCAATGTTTCAGGTCGTGAGGAAGTGTCATCTCACAGACATTCTCAGACAAGCTAGTACTTGTTTAGATCTACCCGGTACAAAAGCTATGACAAAGTCGCCGTCTTTTCCGTACCCTTTTGCGTTTCCTCCTAGATTCTTGGCCATTTTTCTCGCCTTCTAAGACCCGAACCATGATCTGAAATGGCTTTCTTCTGCAGTTGCGGAGGAAGGAGAAAACTTCAGCGTAGGGCAAAGGCAACTGGTGTGTCTCGGGAGAGTGCTGCTGAAGAAGAGAAGGATACTGGTCCTGGACGAAGCGACAACCTCAATAGACACAACAACAAACAATCTAATGCAGAAAACCCTCAGAGAAGAAACAAGAAATTGCACTGTCATCACCATTGCTCACAGGATTCCAACTATCATCGACAATGACTTGGTCCTTGTGCTTGGTCAATGTAAAATATAACCAGAAAACTGAAAACTTTCTCCTATTTTGAATGATATGTTTTGATTATGTAAAACTGTAAAAAATAAAAATCTTTTTTTACTGTAATTGTAGGAAAGGTGATTGAGTATGATTCTCCAAAGAATTTGCTTGAAGATAGGAACTTGGCGTTCTCGAAGCTTGTTGCTGAGTTTACCACTAGGTCATGCTGTAAAATATAACCAGAAAACTGAAAACTTTCTCCTATTTTGAATGATATGTTTTGATTATGTAAAACTGTAAAAAATAAAAATCTTTTTTTACTGTAATTGTAGGAAAGGTGATTGAGTATGATTCTCCAAAGAATTTGCTTGAAGATAGGAACTTGGCGTTCTCGAAGCTTGTTGCTGAGTTTACCACTAGGTCATGCAAGAAAAAGAAGGATGATTCACAAAGAATCTGAACGTAGACCCAATTAGGCCCATTTGAGATATTAATGGGCCATTCAAACAGTTTTGGTAGTTGTACACCCACGGAATGAATCTTCAGGATTGTATTTGATATGTTATGTTTGTATAATCACGTCCATTATAAATCTATATATATAAAAGTTGGATTTGAAGGCTTCTCATGAAGCCACCTAAGCATCCTATGTGACAGTTTTTTAAAATGTGATTGGTTTATAAACTAGAAAGAGAATCATCATCAATTTTTAGTTTATAAATTGATAAATTATGAAGAATTTTCTATTTTGAAATTGAAGGAAGTGTTTTCCATTTTGTCTATTTACTGAGTGTAACCATGAGTTTTGAGATTTACTTGTGGAGAAGTATATGAAATCACTGTTACTGAAACTTATGGGTTCGGACATGTACCAGAACGATGTCTGCAGCACTCAAATACTCCAACTGTCTTTGTAGACAAGAGCTTCATCAAGCATTTCTGAAAGATTCGAAAAAAATGGTAACTTTACAGTTCAAGATTACTTGAAAAAAAAGGGATACATGAAACTTAGAATCAAGAAAGCGGATTTCGTAGACGAGATTTCATACCTCGAACAAATGGCTTCTCGTGTGAGCGTCGACCGCGCTGAAAGGGTCGTCGAGGAGGTAAACATCTGCGTCGCTATAATCAGCTCGAGCCAGTTGAATCTGTTGCTTTTAGCCACCACTCTGATTCATCCCTCGTTCTCCGACTATACTTAGATCCCCGTTAATCCACGTTTTAATGTCCTGATCCAAAGCACAGGCCTCAAGAACTTCGATGTATGCGTCGCGTCTTATCTTCTTTTCGAAAACAATGTTGTCTCTGATGCTTTTGCGGAACGTAAGCTTTTCTACCCTCGACTTTCACAGCATATCCCGATATCCTCGGAATCTCGCCCAGGATACTGCAGAGGAAGCTTGATTTACCTGACCCGACAGATTCACAAACCGCAACTTTCTGCCCTTTCAGGATCTGTATGCTTTGTGTGATTCTGATGGTCGGTTGGTTAGGAAGCTCGTTACTTGAACCCCAAGCAAATCCGCAACCTCCATCTCGACGGCGCTTGAAGAATCGAGAGGAGAATACTCGATATTTGTCTGGTCCTCCGATCCTTTCTGATAAACCCTTCAATCCGCTCTAATGACACTTTGGTTTGGGCCACCAGTGATATGAGCCCGGGGAGATTGTATATAGGCTTCGTTAGTATCCTGAACGTTGCAAGAGTCGAAAAGACGGTGGCTGATGTCAGAGGAGTCTTATACACGAGACAGACGCCGAAAGTGATCACGGACACAAGTGTCGGAGATGCTTGATGAAGCTCTTGTCTACAAAGACAACTGGTGTGTCTCGGGAGAGTGTTGCTGAAGAAGAGAAGGATACTGGTCTTTGACGAAGCGACGGTCTCAATAGACACAACAACAGACAATCTAATGCAGAAAACCCTCAGAGCATAAATAAGAAATTGCACTGTCACCACCATTGCTCACAGGATTCCAACTATCATCGACAATGACTTGGTCCTTCTGCTTGATCAAGGTAAAATATAACCAGAAAACTGTAAACTTTCTCCTCATTTGAATGATATGTTTTGATTATGTAAAACTGTAAAAAAAATTACTGTAATTGCAGGAAAGGTGATTGAGTATGATTCTCCGAAGAATTTGCTTGAAGACAGGAACTCGGCGTTCTCAAAGCTTGTTGTTGAGTTTACCAGTAGTCATGCAAGAAAAAGAAGGATGATTCACAAAGAATCTGAACGTAGGCCCAATTAGGCCCATTTGAGATATTAATGGGCCATTCAAACAGTTTTGGTAGTTTTACACCCACAGAATAAATCTTCAGAACTGTGGTGATGTTTAAAGGATTGTGGTGAAGCCACCTCGTCATCCTACATGGATGTT